CACAGGGACTGGACTCCTGTTAGTGCCCAGAGTCAGAACTAAACATGGGGAGGCTGCTTTTCAAATTCATGCTGCTAAAATCTGGAACAGTCTTCCTGAAGATGTGAGACAGGCCTCCTCTCTGACAATGTTTAAAACCAGGTTAAAAACAGTTCTGTTTAGCTGTACATACAATTGAGGGATTTTATATTTTTATCTTTCTTTTTAATGTTCTGTGATTATTTATGATTTTAATGCTTTCTTATTTTGTTCAGCACTTTGAATTGCCTTGTGTATGAATTGTGCTATATAAATAAACTTGCCTTTCCTTGCCTTGACTGTGCGCATGGATCCCAAAGCTAAAAAGAGAAGAGTCGATGATAAGACTGGACTAAGAATGAAAATTAACATTTGCTTTCTGTCAATGAGGAAGGCCTGCTTCATGTTTGCGATGTAATGAGAAGTTTCTATGAGATAATTGTATCTGTGCTTAGAAACTACAAAAATGGCCGCTCGGGGTGGAGTTGAACCTGTGTCACCTGGAGGGGGGGGGGGGGGGGTGGTCAAAAGCGCCTCATTTGCATTTAAAGAGACAGCACCAAAACAGGTTGCTCTCAGACGCACCTCAGAACAGGTGTAGAAGAAAGGAGCTACAAATAATGAGACTCAGACCCAGGCATTGCAGTTACGCTTTATATAGGCCACAAATTAATTATTTAGATGTAAAAATCAATTATTTCAAAACACGATATGTCCACTTTAACCAGGAAAGTCCCATTGAGATTAAGAACCTCTTTTGCAAGGGAGTCCTGTACATGTCCTGGGACTCCTTAGGGCCGGCACACATTCCCACAGCTTGGAAAACTTCCACAATCATCCTGGTACCCAAGAAGCCCAGACTTGTACCTCCATCATAATTTAATGGTTAGAACGACTCATACTTCACTCCTTCCTCCCGACCCTCAGACCCCTGTTGGACCCCCACCAGTTCGCATACGGAGACAGACAAAGATGCTGTTGCATGTCTCCTCCACCTCCTCCTTCAACATCTGGAAATACCTGGTATGTGATTCATCATGTTCATCAACTTCAGCTCAGCATTCAACACAATTCAGCGCCCTCAAATTATCAGGAAACTCCAACTCCTCAACCTGCCCCCGTTCCTCATTTGTTGGACTCATAACTTGGAAAACGCGATTCTCCCATCCTTTTTGTCCCCTATCAACCAATGTATTTCAAGATGGCGCATTGACATGGATAGAACTCCGCTCTCATGGAACAATTCAAAAAAATTGTGGAGGTAAATATTCTTAGAAAGGTCACATGTTTTTTTTCATTTGGAGCTACTGTAAAAATTTCACAGGGTGGCTTTAATATAAAAAAACCTAATTTCCAAGATGATCACTCAATAACAAGGAATCTGTTTGTGGCACTTTTTAAAGAAAAAATAAAAAGTGTTTCCCATGACCCTCGAATGAAAGTCAATTTCTTAGTAAGTAAATGAGTAAGTCAGTAATATTAATTTAAATAAAGTGTTTTACAATTGTTGTGCGCATTTTACCTGTCACTGCAATTAGTGCCCTTCTAAGCCACTGATGGCCTATACATGTCTGGTATTCGCTTGATACGACCGGATTCTTGGCAGTTTTCAGGAAAGCAAAGGGGGAGCGGGTTAGTCACCCTTTATATAACAGTCAAAACACTGGCTGACCAAAATGGCACTAAGTGATTATTTAAAGGTCAATGTAATTGGAGAACCTATATTAAACCAGTAAGATCACATGCTGCATGCCCTCTGTATAAATAGCTCGAAGCAATGCTTCTAAATAACACTGACGAGATGCAAAATGTACACAGAAAATTTACTACATTTTTTTTTAATCCATAAGGGCTTTATATAAATGGAGTTTGAGTTAAAGTGTGCAACTATATCTTAAAAGGACACAGTTTTTGTTTTGTGCATGATCAGATCAGTGTTAGACAAAAGGGATACCATCAGACACCACCAGACTGAAGTATTTTTCCATATACTGTATATCCTCAAGATTAGAGTTCTGGTTTTCTAAATCTAGACGTATGAGTTCAGTAAATCTGACGTACTGCCCTGCGATGCTGAAGTGCGGAAGTCGAGGGTGGGCTTTGATGCTAACGCGTTTATGCAAACAGTTTTTCACATATAGTTCCTCAACAGGAGTGCGGTGTTTCTCTGTCTCGAGATCCGCCAGAGACGTCATATAACAGGAGTATCTGCTCACGGAGCTGGGCCACGGATGTATTGAATTATTAACTGGTACTTCCTCATCAGCGATTGGGTTAGCAGCACTTCTTTACAGTCACAGTAGATTGTCTACTCGGGGAGAAGACATATGTCCACTTGCACCGTGTTCCCGAATTGTCAGCCCTAGTTTAATCCTGGTTCAGTACGTGTTGTTCTCCTGAGAATCAAATATAATGATCAAATACTACAATCTACTCATTAAATGTTTGTAAAGCAACTATTCAAATTAAAGTTACTCAAAATGAGTATTTTGAATTTGGAAACTTGGTGCACGTAATAAGTACTAGTGAATACTGTAAAGTTTTTAACTTACAGTGCCTTGCGAAAGTATTTGGCCCTCTTTAACCTTTCAACATTTTGCCACATTTCAGGCTTCAAACATAAAGATATAAAAATTAAATTTTTTGTCAAGAATCAACAACATGTGGGACACAATCGTGAATTGGAACAAAATGTATTGGATTATTTAAACTTTTTTAACAAATAAACTGAAAAGTGGGGCGTGCAATATTATTCGGCCCCCTTGCGCTAATACTTTGTAGCGCCACCTTTTGCTGCAATTACAGCTGCAAGTCGCTTGGGGTATGTCTCTATCCGTTTTGCACATCGAGAGACTGGAATTCTTGCCCATTCTTCCTTGCAAAACAGCTCGAGCTCAGTGAGGTTGGATGGAGAGCGTTTGTGAACAGCAGTCTTCAGCTCTTTCCACAGATTCTCGATTGGATTCAGGTCTGGACTTTGACTTGGCCATTCTAACACCTGGATATGTCTATTTGTGAACCATTCCATTGTAGATTTGGCTTTATGTTTTGGATCTTTGTCCTGTTAAAAGATAAATCTCAGTCCCAGTCTCAGGTCTTTTGCAGACTCCAACAGGTTTTCTTCCAGAATGGTCTCCCACCTCAGCTGTAGTTATCTGCAGTTCATCCAGAGTGATCATTGGATGATGATCTTTGTCTTCATGGTTCTCTCTGCGCTTTAAACAGAACCCTGAGACTATCAAAGAGCAGGTGCATTTATACGGAGACTTGATTACACACAGGTGCATTCTATTTATCATCATCAGTCATTTAGGACAACATTGGATCATTCAAAGATCCTCACTGAACTTCTGGAGTGAGTTTGCTGCACTGAAAGTAAAGGGGCCGAATAATATTGCACGCCCCACTTTTCAGTTTTGTATTTGTTAAAAAAGTTTAAATTATCCAATACATTTCGTTCCACTTCACGATTGTGTCCCACTTGTTGTTGATTCATGACAAAAAATTCAAATTTTATATCTTTATGTTTGAAGCATGAAATGTGGCGAAATGTTGAAAGGTTCAAGGGGGCCAAATACTTTCGCAAGGCACTGTACATATTTGGAAAAAGCCAAAGTGCTTATACAACGTCAAGGTCTGTTTCCATGTGTGTTTGAACTATGAGCTCATTTCTGTTCCAAAGCAGACTACTAAACTTCCCACTGAAGATTGAAGGGGGTGGGGGTTTCCTATTACATAACTTACTCCAGTGGGCCGCGGTTGCTATGTCGACAGTGTTTTGTTGTTATTGCTCCGAGAGTGTGACAGAATACCTTGAAGAATGTCTGTCTAAAATCTGCGCATGTTGAATGTATCAACTTACTTGTTTGTGCTAAATCTTTCCATATTCTTTTATGCAGAATTTTACTTGTACTTTTACGTATGTAACATTACTCTTACTTGAGTCATATATTTGACAGTGTAACAGTACTTGAATCCTAATGTAAATTTAAGATTGGGTTACAATTACTGTCGTTGCAGGGAAATTTCTCCTTTAGAGGAGCAGTGGTCAAACACAGGTGTGATGCTTGACTGGGACAACCGGAGCGGCATTTGACAGTACTTTTAAATGAGTCATATATTTGACCAGTCCAGGACCAGTTTTGAACCCGTCCAGAATCAGAACCAGGAATCCAGGGCTTTAACTGCCAGTTAGTTATTGAAATAACTCTGAAAGACATGATTCAGACTGGCATTTACTTCAGAACCTATGGGCAACATTGTGGCTGAGTGGATAGCACTCTCGCCTCTCAGTAAGATGGTTCTGAGTTTGAATCCTGGTTGGAATAGGGCCTTTCTGAGTAGATATTTCATGTTATCTCTGTGTCTGCGTAGGCTTCCTTCAGGTACTCCGGGTTTCCCTACCACTAAAAACATGTGCAATAGTTCAGCGTGAATGTGTGTTTTTGAGTGCGAATGTGGGACAATGGATGCAAATTAGCCCATGGCTACACTCCAGAAACAATAAATAAATAAATATGTTCACTATCTTGGCTCCTGACCTGAAGTGGTCAGTTTGACAGAAACACAGGCTGACTAATTGTCCTGCTCCCGACTCTTCAAACTACTTCTGGTCTCTGGTTTTTGCTTCTGCAAATCTATCTATCCTAAAGGTCTCCTTTCTCAGTCTGATGCAGTGCACAGATAGTTTAACGTTATATACATATAGGGCAGGATAATAAGTAGATAAAGTAACATGCAGCAGCACACTTGGCCTGCTGGTATGACTTAGGAATCCTTCATTTGTAGCACCACCTAAAGGTGAAATCCAAATCCTGTCAAATCTCTGAAGGTAAGAAGGGCAGGACCTGGTTAGTACTGTGAAGGGAGACTGCTATTATCCATCCATCTATCGATAGGGATTATTACGACAAAAGTTGGATCGGTTTAAGGCGGAGGAGACCGCTCGAACGGACAAAAAGATCGAAGACACTCGAGACGGCATGCGGCGGGAGATGGAGTTTCTGTACACTCGAAATATTCAAGTCCTTAATGTACACAGTTAAATGATCTGTTTATGAACTGTGTGGAATACTGTTTAACCATTTATTATTGTTGCTGGACATTTGTAGGAAGCAAATCAACAGCAGTCGACAAGGCCTGGGAAGTCCAGTCCTGTTCAGGTGGAACCAGAAAAAGACCTGGACAACTATAAAGAGAAGCAGAAACAAGCAATGCATAAGCTCGAGCAGCAGCTTAAGAAACAGGTGACTGAACAACAATGCACTGCACCAACAGTTAGTACATTACTACTACTTTCTACTTTTCTGTAGGACAAAAAATGGGCAGCCAGGTTGGAGGATGTAAAGGATCAGCATAAATTAGAGAAAAATAAGGTGTGTTTTTCATTTCTTGCTAAATGACGTTTGGATCTGATGACATTAGATTTTTCTTATTAAATTTTTTCTCTCTGGGTCAGTTACTAAACGAGCTCAACAGAATGCAGATCACAGTGGCTGAGCATCAGGACCACAATCACAGGCTCCGGCAGGACCTGAGCCAAAAGCTGCAAGAGAAGGAACAAACCATCAAGAGCCAGAGGGAGCAGGTCGGTCAACAGCCACATCATCACGGCCTCCGCTGCCGACAGGAAGCGGAGGCCGTGGGCTCGGGCCTTGTTCAGGATTTCCTTTATTAGCAGCATACACAGTTTAAAGGCCTCATACTGTACTTGGGACAGTAGTGACGTGTATTCACTTTTTTACAGCTGCAGCGGAAAGCCTCTAGCCCACCTGCCAAAATTATTGAAACACAAGGTATTTATACTGAATTTTGTGAATGCAGAAACACAACAGGAATCTCATTTGTTTTATCTTCTTCAGTTCTTCACACATCTGCAGCTCCAGAGCCTAAACAGAGGAGAGTTGTTCTTGGTGAGTCAAAGATATTTTTTACTAATTTAAAGCTTGTTTATTTATTTTATTGATAGATCATTTAATATAATAGTCTTTGTTAAATTTATTATAAAACATTAGGCCTAGGCAAGCTCACTCACTGCCTCACATGATATACGCCCTTCATATCTGATGTATGACCTGTGACGTGTGCTGTTCGTAAAGAGGAGCCTCCCTCTGCTCCTGTACTGGACCCTATACAGGAGCTGTCAGACGAGGACAGAGGTAACACATGCAGAGAGCCGCTCAAGTGCATGCCGTCTGCATGGATGCATCAGTCTGTCTTAAAGGTCATTAACACCAGGAGTCCGATAGTCTTCTTGGCATGTTGATCTCAAAGGCTTTAGATTTACCTCATATCAGGTCATAGCGAGTATCGTCTGCTGTTATAATCATTTGGAGTCATTAGAGCATCATCTTTGTGCATTGATAGTGCAAACTTGCATGGAGGCATTCTCATCTGGCTTCCCCACTTTATCATCTCCGACCTTCATTTGTCTTGGCTTATATCAAGCTGCATTATATCATTCAATACCAAACTTTAAACAAGCACTGATGAACTGTTATTTTTCAGAATCCAGTGTTTCTGAAGCAAGGCCTGTGAAGAAAATTCAAGTCCCACCACCGCCGCAGAAGAAAAAGCGGACAGCTCTCAAAGCACTGAGAAAAAACCCCAACCTCAGAAGAGAGATGAGGCCTGAGGTAGAGAAGAATGTCATGAGAAAGCTGCAGAGCTATGGAGTCAAACCTGTGAGTAGTTAACGTTCATCAGTCAATTATACTGCTTTTAGTGCCATCTGCTGGCAAACCAGGGGCAGGACAGATACAAAATAAGGTCATAAACTCTCCTAGTGCATTGTGATGCTTAGCCATATTTACACACTTAATCTGTTTCTTCCCTCACAGAATCAGAGTGGGCTTAAACTCAGAGAGATGGAGTCCATACTTGTCAAGGTGCGTGCGGAACGAAAGAGGGAGTCCCAAGAGCTTCCTGATTACTGGTCTTATCGCCAGGAAATTAGTGACACTGTGCATGAAAAACTGGGAGTCCCGAAGAAGAACCACGATCAGAAGAATAAGAAACTCATGCAAGGTACTCATGCTTTCACAATCTGGTTTGTGGGCCACGCTTTGTCATTTGCAAGTGCATTAACGGGCTGTGTGTTTGTGTAGTGTTGCAGATCCACCCTCGATCAAATAGCCTGCCCTCCAGAGCGCCAAATGTGGTGTCGGTATCATCAGAGCGGCTGTCCAAAACTCCACAGGCTGCTCCGAGGTCCAAGAGCATGGCACCAAAGACCTCAACACCTAAGGACAAGACCCCTTGGATGAGCAACTCTTCCATGTAAAGGCTTTCAACATTAAATAAATGTTTTGCTTGTCCAACAGGTTTTGATATGTACCGTCTGTCACAGCATGCAAGTTATTATTATTATTATTATTCTAAATATTGTTAGCCGTATAGACTCGGGAGCATACATCAACAAAAGTCACAAACGATCTTTGTGTAACTCTCAAGGACGCCTCCTTTCAGCTCAGACGAAGAATCCGAAGACGAGGAGACCGACTCTGAGGAAGCGCATCAGCTGGACCAGAGGAATAAAGTCAGTTTGGTTCAAAACAGAAGCGTTCTAACCAAACAAGCCTCAGTCACCTCCATAAACAGCCTGCAGTCCAGAGCGCCGTCGGCAGGTGTCACCAAGATGGACAGTGAAGACGAGGACGACTGGTCTGAGGTCAGCGAGCTCCAGGAGATCGATCCGAAAGAGCTGCCGACTTTCAAAGACCAGAATGGAAACGTGGAGAAGAAGAGCGTCGGTAAAGGTAGCTATTGAAGGCTATTGAACACTGGGTATTTTTGCAAGAATAATTATAACAGATCCAAATGACACGATTGTTTGATTTCTTTCAGAGAATAAAATTGTTGAAATAAGCAAAAAAATTGAAAAGCAATTCACGGAAAGGTTGGGAAAGAAACCAGCAGGGGGCATTAGCATTTTGGCTGAGAGGAAAGATGAAGTCCAGGAACTTTCAGTAAGACCTTTGTAACTATGCACATACTGTAAATGAAGTGTCAATGGTTATGGTTTTGTTGGTGCATGGAGATGATTGTCCTGTTTGTGGCAGTGCACGGATCTAGACGAGAGCAACGAGTGGGTTTCGTCGTTAGAAGAGAAAGTGTCTAAACCGGTGTACACCTCTGTGCCACTGAGGAGGAGCCTGGACTCGGCCAGCACCAGTGTGTGGGGTACCTCCACCGGGAAGGGACCCAAGTCGAGCCAATCCCAGGGTATCACAACCTAATATGTGCCAAAATGCACCCAACATGCTACAAGTATGAGATGTGTGATGTTGACTTTGTTCATCTGTTTTGCAGGTTTGACTGAAGCAAGTACAGGAAGCACTTTTAAGAGCAGCATTTACTCCCTTAGTGATGTCAGTGACGATGATTTTAGCAAATAATGAACTGGAAACTATTGAGCCAGATCCACTTCTGTCACTACACAATCAAATAGCAATATACTAGAGACAGCAATATATGTGTAAGGAAAAGAAAGTGCTAAAAATCTCTAAAAAGAATATGAGAAATGTATATTGTGTTGTGTGTTGACCGTTTTCTGAGGTAGAAAAGTTTTGTGCCAACATTTATTTGCTTATAAAATGACAAGGAAAAAGTTATTAAATTGTGCTCACCGTCTGTGCTCTACGAGTGTTTTTTTGTTATGATTTGTGCTTTTTTACTATATATTTTGTAGATTTGTTACAGAAAATATGTCATTTTTGTATAGAAAGTATTTATACCAAAACAATAAAACTTTTTCAATCTTAACAATGTCATATCTCACAATGCAATATATACATTTCATGTTTTTACAGATCTCAAACAAAGCTGTCCTGGTTGTATGTGTTGATTGTTTTTGCAAATCTCGTTCCTCGCGTGGTCCGGCTTTTTCTTCCTTCGTAGAACAGCGGTGGAGCCAGGGTTACTCTGGAGGCAGGGGCCATGTATGTGCGTATGCTGCGGCGGCCGGTCACATAAGTCCCGTACACTCTGCGCTGGCTCAGGCAACTGGTCAGAAAGCAAAGCAGTTAGAATGGAATCTGTGTTTTTAAAGATACGCCCATGGTAAAGGGTCCCATTTAAAATAGCACTGGTATAACTGTGTTTGAAACGTTTTCTCAAGGTGTAAACTTGTCTCATTTAGTTAATTCTCTGGGGTTTCAATACAAGGCGTCTAATGTTTTATCTGGGCTTACATTTAAAAGGCCTAATATCCAGTGTGTGAAAGATAATGTGATAGCCATTTGATTTTAACACATACAATGGAACATAAGAGATTTTTTTTCCAGACACTATGAGATGAAAGACAGAATATTTACTGGAAAGTCGAATAATTTCTTTACATGAAATTATGAGAATTAACTCGAGATATTATGAGATTATTCACTAAATATGAGGATAAACTCAGTAAAAATCTTAAAAATATGACCTAATCTTATGACTCTTTCTCAGTACTATGCAATATACATGGACACAGGACGGATTGAGCTGAAATTCAGTGTATAAATGGGATGTGATGGTAGTTCAATAATTCAATTTTCCTTGACATTTTGTAGTCAATTATTCTAGGCATAACAACATTGCGTTATAAGAACATAGAACATATTTTAAGTTTGATATTTTACCTTGACGGGAGGCCTTCTTTTGCTGAGAAGAAACCTTGCACAGATGCTCCACAAATGAGCAAAATTGAGCCTCCCCATCCGATAAAAACGGCTGCTCCAAGCTCAAATCTAAAAGTATAGAAGCCTGTATGATATTGCCATTCTTATTTTGAAAACTATTGACACATTTGTTCACTTACTTTTGTGCTCTGAAATTTGGATCTACAAACTCACTGATAACTCTATGGCCCCACCAGGAATAGGTTATCATTCCACAGAATCCTTTCACAAAACACAAACATATACACAGATGTAAGAATAGTTTTGTATGTCATTTTGATTTCTTTACCCAAAGTCTGTGTACCTGAAACTAAGTAGGTAATTGCCCCAGCAAAGGTGACTCTTGCATTAATAACCTCTGTTCCTCCTATTTTAGTGCATTTCATCCCAATGAGAGTCAGGACACCGCCAAAGAATCCAGTGATGACAGCGCAGACGGCCAGAGCTCTGCAGGCGTGTAAGAAGACTGGGAAAACAAAATAGATATTACTGATATTAAACCAAGCATTTTGATAATGTATTGTATGCCTTACCAGGTAAAGCTAACATGGAGGGGTATTCCTTGCAGTCCGAGACCCCAGTAGTGTCCGATACACAGTCCTTCCACAGATTAGAGTAGTAGTTTGCAGTTGTCAAGACGATACTACCTACTTCAGAGAAAGTCCAGTACTCTGTGGGGAGAGTGGAGCAGACCAGGATCCATCCACATAAACAGCTGACGAAAGTACCAATCTCCACGTACATAACCACCGTTCGATACTTCATGGTGAGTGTATTCTCCAGATAACAGACTGAGAGTGACTCTGCTGATGCTGAGGATGGAGGAGTCCTGAAGCTGTTTGACCTGTTCTTATCTGGAGATGATTCTGCTCCATAAGCAGCTTTTTAGTTCCCAGGAGCCACACAGAAAGTTAAAAGTTTTAGAGGTTTAGTATCAAGGGTTAGATTCTAAACTGTTAAAATGACTGTTCTTAACTCATTGACTGCCATTGACGAATTTGTCTGACACTGGTGATTTCTGTCAAACTTCCCTGTATTCCACTGGGGATTACAGGAGAACAAAACTAGCTAGAAACCAACATATTTTTGCAGATGAAATTAGATAGCCCAATCTTTCAGAATCTGGTCTCAAATTTTACATAATCATAGCACACAATATTCTGTGGGTGTTGAAAGTCAGTGAAATCTTCAAAAAAGATTCTCAAGGAATGAGCCCAAAAGCCCACTCGTGCATCTCACTTCAGCATAAACGTTAAAGGTAAAAAGTTCATTATGTCTTATGTTTAATGCTTAGAAGGAAAAAAAAACCCTAACCCTCTGCTTAATTAGCAGTTTATGTTAAGTAATGAAGCAGTACTAGCTTCTTTACATCACATTTGTCTTGTTAAAATAACCTTCTAAGCAGCAACTTTGCATAAGCTCTATTCAAACCGGGACCAAATCCAACGTATCTGAGATGAACCGAGAGTCCTGACCTCAGCCGCTAACTTTCAACAGATGTGGGTCTGAGATTATGAATTACTCCATAACAATTAAAAATAAAAGGTAGTTTGGGCAGTAACCACTTCAATCAAATCTGACTCAAATGTGATTTATTACGTTGCCAAAAAGAAATGTTTTCATCAGGGTGATACAGTTCACACACACGGCAACTCAAAGTGCTTGACAAAACAAGATAGAAACAATACGAGGCATTAAAATAGTAAATAATTAAAATAATTACATAAAATCCCTTTATTGTGAGCACAGCTAAAAAGATCTGTTTCACATTTTCATGAAGACTGTTCCAGATTTTAGCTGCATAAATCAGAAACGCTACCTCCCTATACCCAAATTAAAACAAAGTTAAGAATTAATTTATCTTCAGTGAATCTCTTGGAATGGACCAAAGAAAATGTTATTGTTACTTATTAAAGGGGATCTGAACCCAGGACTGAAACGGAGACTGAGATCAGTGAGTAATGGTTTCCGTACAAAAAGGATACTGAAGGCTCAAGGCTTAAATGTTATGAAATGTAATCTGTAATTTCTGTTTGTTAAAGTACTTTTATTCTGATAAACCCACAGTGTTATACATTCACACACTATTTACAGTAACAACCTTTTACAACATTCTTCCTCATCTGCAGCAGAACTGTTTCTCAGAACTGTTTGCAGTGTAAACACAGCCTGACGTAAGGACAAAGAGACAGAGCAGTGACTGAATTTACAAATATTATTGTGTTGGCACAATAAAAAAGTTATTCACCAACATCACCTGCAGAACAGATGTTATCAGTTCATAGACTTTGCTCTGGAAGTTCAAAATGGCCATTGGTTATTCTCACCCCGACCATGGACCCCGACACTATTTCCAAATGAGCTTCACACCAAATGCGTTTAACCTGCAGTTTTATGGCACAACATTTTAGTTACAATGCAGGATTTCAATGCCTTTGAGCCAGAGGGTCGTGGGTTCGAGCCCGACTTTCACCATCGACTCCCTCTGTCTGCTGTCGTTGTGTCCTTGGGCAAGACACTTAACCTCTGGGAACAGCAGGTGCCACAGTGGGGCGGCTGTGGCTGTAAAGTGCCAAACTGCTGTTGTGTCCTTAGGCAAGACACTTCCCCCACATTAGAATGAGTCTGGTGTGTGTGTGAATGGTTGGTGGTGGTGGGAGGGGCTGATGGCACAGACTGGTTGCCTTGCTTCTGTCAGTGTGCCCCAGGGCAGCTGTGGCTACAGTAGTAGTTTATCACCACCGTGTTTGTGAAGCGTCTGTGTGTCCAAAAAGGCGCTATATAAAACTGATGCATTATTATTATGTGTTAAATTTCAATCTCAATTTGCTTTCATTTTGCTTTCATCCCTTTCATGTATTTTTCAGACTCTTTCACAGCTACAAAACATATTTTTTCAGACTGAAAGTTGAGAGACTCTTTCTGTTGGTGAAGTGATTTTTGATAAAGATAAAACGTATGTTCCCCTGCTTTAAACCTTCAAATGTTCATCCATCAGTTCCCACGCTCTAAAGTCTGGAGGGATCTCATGTAGAGTTTTTCTTTATATGTAGGAATTCTTCACAAACTGTGCAGATTCACCCCTGGAAATGCCAGATAAAGAGGACGTTGTTCGGCTGCTGCTGCGGCTGCTGCGGCTGCTCTTACTGGACCCTGAGCTGGTGGACAGACTGGACCTGGACGTTCTCCCTGACTCTGCCCCAGATCGCGATGTGGAACTGGCACGAGAGCCTGCAGACCTAGGGCTTCTTTTCGTCCTGGAGGTCCGTCCCGTCCTGGAGGTGCGGGTCGACCTGGAGGAGATCTCGGACACGTCTGATTGTTTGGAGGAGATTTCAGAGATGGAGGAAAGTTTGGTTTTGGAAGTGAGGTCGGACAAAGCTGTGGTGGATTTGTTGAGGGCGCTGGAGGTGTTCTTTTCCACGTCTGGAAGTGCATTGACTGCTACCACTCTGAAATAAAGAAAAAAGATTTCAACAGATTTAGTTTAGCTGTTGCTACAAGCAGCCGGTACATTCAAGTTAAGAAAAGACATTGGAGAAACTTTACATTTCAAGCCTTGCATCATTCACTGAAACTGTGATTTTCTTTTTAATAAAATGCACAAAAAACACAATTATTTTTTAGAGAGTACTATTTCCTAAAGGATTAGAACATTAAGTTGACCTGTCGATGTCTCCAAACTCTACTGTTTTATCCAAGTACAGGAGTTTTGCTTATTCAAAGTATTAAAAATATAACTAAAATACAACATTTTACTTTAACAAGAAACTTTTTGTTGAAGCAAACAATTTATTCTTTATATATTTATTATTCTATATTTAAAGTTTGGTTCCCCAACTTTAAATACTATGGAGCTCTACAGTCAAGGCATTAATTACCATTAACATGAAAAGTCACGAAGTCTAAAGTTGTGACGTAAATGTGTCTTTTCACTATAGTTTATCTGTAGGCTTTATGATCTGGGAAAGCTTTTAAAGTGAAATTGAATTAATCTGGCAAAATGGGCCGTTGTATTAGATCTACAGCAAACAGGAAACCCTCTTAAATACGCCCATATTTGTTCCCGCCATATAGCTTTAGGCCTGTGCTGTATTGTAAATGGAAGAGTGCACACGTGTTGGGTTTTATGGGCAACACATGGCCTTCACTTTTGTGCTATTTATTGCGGAAGCGGGAGGGGTTTATTTACCGATCGCCCCTGTACTTGTTTAGATAATAATGACATGTTTTTGCACACTCACACTGCCTCTCCTCCTCCACACAGGGGCCTGCACACGGACCACAGGTAGAAGAAACCCCCAGCCATATGGACGGCAGAGCCAACCCAGCCCAAGAACAGCGGTGTGCCAAGGTCATATCTGCATTTCAAGACATAAAATTATGCATTAAAGACTTCAATGATAACAACAACAAAAAATATTATATTTCCACCCACTTTAGGTCATTGAAATCAGGGTCAAAATATTCCGCTGAGACATATTGAGCATAGACACAATATCCACTTGTCGACAGCACACCTACAATGCAAAAAAAAACAATTGTTATGGTGGAGGAATTTCATATGAGCAACAATATGATAAATACCGCTGGTAATATGAAAACATCCTCCGGCGTAGACCTTCTTGTATTTGGAAGGGTCTTCACCTCCCAGATATGTGCATTCCATTCCCAACATACTAAGCACAAAGCCGAGCATGCCCACAGAAAGTGCAGCCATTAGCAACCCACGCACGACTTGGATGTGCCCTTGGTATGAGGAGAAAACATTGAAACATTTGTAGAATCATTTGTGCATTTTTAAGTGTATTCTACAACTTACCCTCCACCGACCACAACACGGGATAGTCATAGCAGTTGCTTACAGCAGTGGAGTCCGTGTAACAAGACCTCCAAAGACTCGACCAGAACCAAGCTACTTTTATGATGGAAGAGCCACCCATCCCACCGATAGAAGTGATTTTCCAGCCCTCCATCGCCATAGTGCAGGCCACAAAAATCCACCCCAGAACAGTCATGAGGAAACCCCATATCTGCACCACACGGATCTTCATTTTCTTTATTTGCCGAGATTCACAAAAACAAATCCATAAGATCCAGTCTGATGTCCCTATCTCTGTGCACTGACCACAGATCAGTGCATCCTAGAGGTCTGTAAGATGTCACTGAGCTTTTCTGAAGTGAAGCCAATCTGGGAACAAATCTGAGCCATTCAGCGACTTTCCAACACGACAACATGAGGGTGAAAGACAGCACCAGAGTTCCCAGGGATGCAGCTTGTTAAGCACGTGTCTCATATTACTAATCTGTTACTTCCATATGTAGCGTCTTTTTTAATAAAAGGAATTGTCGACCTCCATTTTTAGTTTCAGCTGATATATTTTATTGTTTAAAGACTTTTTAACATTGCTGTTGACATTATGGGACAACTAATGAGATTCTTTGGGAGATGGCTGCAGATTCTCAATATTGGTTATTAGCATGGACGGAGCTCATGCACTAAAGTAGATATACATTCTTCACTTTGCCCCAGGCCTTAAGCTTGTTATTGGTCATATGACCTCTTTGTTTGAAGGGCCCTGGAATACAGCTTCTTAGGCCTTTTATAATTACACTTAGATGTAGGTTAATATAAGATGTGAGGAATGTTCTTTAGGAGGTGATGAAAGATGTCTTCTTTACATTTAAGTCCATACATATTGTTCAGTGGGTGCTGTGTGACTGTGTTTTTATAGATAGATCCACCATAAATGAGTGGATACTAACTACGACAAGCACACGACACACTTTATGTGTATTTAATTTACACGTTCAAGTCTACTGTGTGACCTCAAGTTCACAGTGTGATGTGCTACTGCCATCTAGTGGAATTATCCGTAAAATATAATGCCAAAAAGATGTGTAGTTTACACCATTTTTTTATACAAGATAGAGTTAAACATGAAACACATTGAAATCAATGCTGCCTGTCCCTTGGAGAACCTGGTGCCACAGGACACCTGACTCGTGTTTACTAATCTCAGGGAGTGGTTCAAGTATCAGAGCTGATAACAGCAGAGGTGGGGTCCTCTGATAATATTCACAGGTGGAGATGGACAGGAAGCTTCAGTCATAACTCTGATGTGGGAGATAGCACCCGGCAGAGACCAAGTGACCTGGAGGTTAAAGGCTGAATTATTACTATACTATACTACTACTAAAATACATCCTATAATAGCACACATGATAATACTTCCATGTTAAGTTTGCCATCGTTATGATTTATTCTCTGTATTTTGTCGTTGGAATGCCTAAGGAATCTCTCATACATTTAATATCATTGGAATTATAAAAGGGGATTTGGACACAAAGAACTTGTTGAAGGAGAGAATTTGAGGCCCGTTTGTGCCAAATAAAATTTCCTGCTCCATCAGAAGAATGGACATGCATTTTCACATGTCACTGACTGGAAAAGCTGTGGCTGACACATTGAACAAAGTAGTTTTCACACATATGCATTTCTCCCAAACTGTCTTTGCTCGTGCGAGTCCTTCTGCAGGCTGCTGGGTGCTTTATTGGGGTAGTGCCGCTGTGTCTCAAAAGACGTGGCTCCTCTATAGGAATACTCAGCCCTGTGCAGACAAGAAGTATCTTAATTTACACAGGATTCACACAGTAAGGAGATGTCTAAAATCATTGAGTCTTTAGTATTGAATAATATGTATAATCTTTCTAAATAGTAGCCCAGGTGAAGGTGACTTTCACTGTGGAATCATAATAATCATTCAATACACAAGTGGAAACAAAGGAAACATTCATGCAGAACACGCTGTATCACTAAAATCCATCAAACCATTTAGCCTGAAAGTTATGAAACATGATGTCTGCATTGATTGTGAGCTTCTCTGAGTGAATGGACCTTATTCAAGCATTTTGTTTCGCTGCATTAAATGACTTCTCTACCTTATGGCCATTGAAACTTGCCTCAAACTGTCTCCATCAGATAACGATAGAAAAAATATGAGTCCTCCGATGATACACAAGACAGACCCCGACCAGCCGATGAACAAGGCAGCCCCCAGCTCGAACCTGGAAGAAAAGAAATTGGGGAAAATCATAAGGTATGTAAGTGTGACTAGAGACTTTGATCTTCTCTTTGCCAAATTCTCTCTTTTAATCCCCGGGACTTACTTCTGAGCAACAAAAAGGGGGTCAAAGAAGTCTGTGGTTATCCGCCGGGCGTATATAGAGCACGCAGTCAAGCCAGACAGCCCTGAGAGAAATACATTCAGTTCAAGAAAATGTGCAAAACACGCATTTATTTACTGTTTTATATTTTGTATATTTGCAGATTACCACAGAGGATAAAGTGAACACCGGACAGGGCAGCCAAGCGAGCTTTGGTGGTGTTCGAGCCGCCGATTTTGGTGCATTTCATCCCCACCAGAGCGAGAGCAGCACCAAAAAACCCCAGACACACTGCTGCAATCATGAGCCCTCTGCAAACCTGGATGTAAGCTGCAGGACGGGCAACAACAACACAGCACTACGTTAAAATATCACAACTTGTGCATTCATATTTGATGGATGTGGAATCTCTTTAACTGTTTTCACAAGGAATACTGTTTGTTTTCTTCCCAACAGAAAGAGTATTGCCCTGAGAGCTACTATATGACACTGAGAGCTGATTGGCTGAGTGAGCCCGGCCCTCTCTTTTCCACTTTTTAGTCTGAAAAAGCTGATCTAGATGTAACGAAGGATGTAAAATAATGCATGTGAACATTAGTGGTAGCTCCAAAGTCTTTTCGGGTGAAGACTTTGTTAGATTTATTAAGACTGCTTTATTTTTCAACTGCTTTGACAACTACTGATTAGTCTCGGCCGCCAATTACCTTTCAATGAGAACCATTCTTTGACTGTTTTGATAGAAGATGGAGATGGCGTGAGAATCAAAATCCATTATCTGTTATGAATCACTGCTGCTACGAGGGGCGACAGTAGCTCAGTTGGTAGAGCACTGGCCTGTAGGCCTGAAGGTCGTGGGTTCGAGCCCACCATAAGACCTTCTTCACGACTCCCACTGATGACTGCTGCCGTTGTGTCCTTGGGCAAGACACTTAACCCCACTTTGCCTGAAGCTCCCACTGAAAGATCTCTGCTCCTGTGGACTCACCACCTGCAGGAGGATCAGTGAGGGGCTGGTGCTCTGTGAACTGGGTGCAGCCCTGACTGCCACCCCCCCGACCCAGAAATGGATTAAGGGGAAGAAAATGGATGGATGGATGGATGTTTTCCATCGCCGGGAAAGGTCCATCTTTATCAAAGTTATAAAACCAAATTCTTAAATTGTTATTTAATTGGAGCCATTGAATAATCTAGTTCCAATATATACGTACTTTCTCATTGCACCTAGTTCCACCAGTCAACAAACTATTATTATTATATATCATGCATTTGTCTTTCAGCAGGTTTGAAGTTATCTTTGGCGACACACTCACCATCCAGAGCCAGCATGGAGGGAAAGTCCTTGCAGTTGGAGACACCGGTGGAGTCCGTGACGCAAGTTTTCCACAGATTTGACCAAAACGTTGCCGTGGTTATGACCGTTCCATCCACAGAGGACACCTTCCAGTAGTCTGTGGGCAGCGTGGAAGACACCAAAACCCAGCCTGAAATCGTCAAGAGAAAAGCCACTATCTCTGTTGCCATGCTCCCCATTCTCTCCCTTCACCTGGCCCTGGGTTCCACCTTCTGACCGGTGCCCAGGTGAACTGAGATCGGGATGAGGAGGAAGACGAGGAGGTGGGAGGATCTGTCCGGTGAAGGTATTCGAGTATTTTCAACGCGGCATGACACATTTCTGCACAATCACTTGTTGTGTATGGTGTGTGTGGTCAGATGAAGGGAGGGGGTGCGTATTATTCACCAGGCATCACTCGTCGCCGTGCGGAGGGTCTGTGCAAGGGGATCTGCACAGGAGGAAGCCTTTAATTGGAAGGATCTGAAAAGTTATAAGCACTAGATGGGCAGCAGTGATAGCAAAGGGCACACTGGTGAATCTCAAAACAAAAAATAGACACAACAGAACATGGGGTTCTTTGTCTGTTACATATTTCTCAGTTTGTCCAGTGATTTTCACATGTAGCTTGCTGCATTTTAAGGCTGGATTACCTGTTATTGCTTTTTTAGAGACTTTTTAAGAATTTTGAATACGCAATAGTCTTTCTCTACATCTCTTTCAATCTCTACATCTCCCAAATAAAACACTAGCCCAGTTTTTAGCCAGATTTATTCAAACACTTTGTCAATTTATTTGCTAATACATGTCCAGAAACACAATATAGTTCGCCACATTACCAACGAATATGTGCGTGTCCCACATTCTCCGGCAAAGTTGATTTGTTGATGATAAAGTCACCGTTGTGTGTTCTACAGCATTGCACTTGAGTGCCATCTAGTGAGCTTGTTTTTTATTTTTTTTACCATTTTCAGTGAAAAATATTACAGCCAAAAATACATTACAGCCAAAAAAAGTTCACACCCAGTAAGGGAGGGTTCATGTTTAGATTATTTGTTTTGATGAGTAATCATTTATAGATTGAGTGAAAAAAAGCTTGTAATTTCGTCTACTTTGACTAAAATGTTTCATACAGACACAATTCTTATTTAAAGCTTCAAGCCACAAAAATAAAATTTAACTTGCTTTTTAAGGCACACCAGTGTATAAGAGAAGACCACTCTCGCTCAGCCAATCAGCTCTCAGCCCAAAGAGTAAAATATTGACTTACAGAGATCTTTCTTACAAAATTATTCTTTTAAAGGATTCTGTTGACACAAACATGTATTATTAATGATAGTTCCCCTGTCTTAGCCTGTTTAAATTAGAAGCCTTAACCCCTCGGGGCCCAATTTGAACAAGAGTAAAAACCTGTTATTTGAGAAATTTAACACATGGGTGAGTAATATACAATACATCTGTTCTATCGTCACGTATTTCATTCTGAGGATTGCATTTTCTTTTAAACTCTTTTTCCAACTATGAATAAAGGCCTTTGAACAGTGGAGATCAGTGGAGGGGTAGAAACAGCTTGTTGTGAGAGAAAGTTGCTTAGTTGGCCTTTTGTCAGCCCCGCGGGTGCATCGTTTATTTATCTCCTGAGATTGGGTGAAGACTTGAAGACGTTTCCATGGCTACGGTTGACGGTCACTGTTAATGCCCTATGCCTGAGGAAGAAGCTACCATCTGAAGAAACTAATGCAAAAGATTATACAATTATCTCTTGTGTGCCAAGCCATACATAGAAAAACTAATACCAGAATTAAGAAGCACTAAAATACTGCCCACTTAAATTATGGATGTGGAATGTATTATTATTATTGTAATTGACCAGTTTTATGTTTTTAATAAAACCTCATTTATGACCTTTCAGAGTCATTTCAGACTTCTTAAATTAAATAAATAATGTGATATAGGCATGGTCAGGAAATGAACACAGTTATATATAAACTACTTATAACTGCTTTGTGACCCTGGTCTGTGAAAGGCGGTATATAAATAAAGATTACTTACTTAGTGTAAGTATCTGTCAAATACTTTACAGATGGGCCTTTTGATAACTGCTTCCCTATCTTCCCTATGATTTATTGGAGAGCCCTACGCCTATCCCAATGTTCCTCTCAATAGTTAACAAAGGCTCCGAGGCCACAGAAGTAATGTGAGAAGTTAAAAACAGAGCTATCACAAGGTCTGGAGCCCCTGAGAAAGTAAAGCTGTTCCCTGAGGTGGGCTGGCTGCTCTCTCTGATCACCCACGACTCACGCTGTGGCCCCTTCACTTTGAGCTAAACATCAACAGTAAATGCGGGCCACATTTCTACTATCATTGGACCACTTTGTTGCCAGGAAAACTATTTACTGTACCTCTCTCACTGGGTTGACTTTGATATGCTGTGTTGAACAATGAAACAGGAGGAGGCGGTAGAGTCGTAGGCCCGGAGTGAGATGGGCGTAGGAAGGACCCTTATGTCAGCACAGGACACACCTGTTGGCTCCGGGGCCTCTGTCATCTCTACCTGTGTGTCAGGTCTATTTATAGACTTGCTCTATCTATGTGTAAACTTGACAATCAAACAAAGCAAGACCTCACTCTATCAACAAATGGCCTTTTGTTACTAGTCTTTTATAGGGCCTGCATGGACACATTTGCTTCAGGAAAGAAGGAATTTCCTTTTTGTTAGGCTTTGTGAAAATGAGGAACCAAAATGAGAAAATTACATTACTCAGACAAAAATAAACATCATTTCTAGTCCATTTAGACGTCTGCCATATTATAAGCATAGAGAGCAGAAAAGGCGCTTTAAGCATTATTTTTTTGTGCTTATTCATTGAATATCACTTGATCTTTTCCCATAGCAAGTGAGAATTTGCTTGTCTTTTATTAAAGCCGGGATACTAATACAAAATAAAAATAAATCTACTTCCTGGTTCGAAAACCAGTATTATCACTGCATCAAATGTTGGTACTGTCACACTTTTAGATCTGCATTTACAAACAGAACGAGAGGAACACTCACTCTAAGCACTCAGACCAATGTTAAATATTCTTTCTTACTTATACAGAGTTAAATATTGACTCACAGGGTTCTTACAATGCTGCAAAAGGTTTTCTGATTAGATGAAGTGGTTTTATTTGTTCTCAACATTTTTACTTTTACAATACATGGGACAAACAACATTCATTTTTGGGGGAAACAGGAAGAAACCCCTGTCCTCCTGCCTTTCTGTTGTTAAACTGATTATAATCTTCCACTCATTGGCAGAGCTGATTATAATGATATGAGCTTTATGTCATCTACAGGTCGAGAACACTTTTATAATCTCACTTTTCCAGCCAATCGCCTGCGTTTGAAGTGGGCCGCTCGTCCAATCACGTGCGTCGGGGGGCGGGCCTTCTCGCCGTGAGACTCGGGGATACGTAACGCCAGGAGAGACTGAAAAGAGAGGGGCACCTCCGCGGGACATGTGCGTGTTCCCCCCTAAAGCACGGCACCCAGACCCCGGTACCAGCCCGCGGAAGGAGCAGGGCAGATAACAGGAGGCGAGGGAAGGTCCTGGAGGCGCGCTACCCATCATGGAGAACGCCAAGGCGAACCCGGCAGCCAGCGCCAATGTGTTTTCTAAAATATTTTTCTGGTGAGTCGAATGAGAAGTGCAACAATCCCCCGAGCAGGTCATTTAAACATATTCACAATGCATTGGTTTGTAAACTTGGTAAAAGTGCTGATAAAGGCTGTAGTGTGGCTTGTACGTGCAGTAGTTTGGGCTTCTTACAAAAGTACCATACGATCAAAACATCAAGAGAATTCCTTTGCTGCAGGGTTTTCCCGACTCCAATTCCCTTCTGCTCGTGTTTCTTTTCCGGTGTTTATTTACAGTTTACAGAACATTCGTGTTTGACTGAACTTGGAACTAATTGTGCAGAGAAGTCTAAAGCATAAGAGGACATGCAGAAGAGAAGGGTAACCATAAACACCTGGTGGCACGTGTTTGTAATTCACCAAGTTTTTCAGAAGAGAAAGAAAAGAGATCCTTTATTTGTCCCACATTTCAATTTTCACTTTCAGTTTTCAGAGGAACCTGGATTTTCATGTTGCCACATTAGTTGTGTTTACTGGCTTGGGTTTGCATTGTAAGAACCTGAAAATAACTTCAATAACAAACTTTAGAGCTAAAATAATCAGTGTAGACTTTTTACAATGTCCATATCCAAGTATATCATGTTTTTAAGTGATATTAAGACGGCATGTGGTTTCATTATTTCAGTGGGGACAATTAAAATGTATTTATGAGTGAAAGATAAGGTTCCCCACTACCACAGCTGTTATTACCAGAATTTTTAGATTCTCGCTTTTGACGTCGCACAGTACATTAACCTTCTTTACAACATTACGTCTTAAAACCTACTGTTTTTTCTGTTAAATGAATGAATGAAAATGATTGTTATAAATGACTGATAATGAATTGCAAATGAATACCTAGTAATATCAGAGGTATTTTCCTTTACGACAGTGTAATTGATATACGACATGCGTTTATTGTGTGTTACTCAAACAAACAAACTGACACAGGATTAGTCTTTGATTAAAAACAGTAACATGTTTATCCCAGCCAAATAAACAATAAAATAAAAGATTTCTGAATGGGGCAAAATCCAAACCAGACCTCAAGTAGACGGATACATTAATGTTGTAGAAATTCAGGCGTCCAGCGACAGAATACATCCATCCACAAATGAGTGTCAAAGAAAGTATCTGGACTTTAAAAGGTTATAACTCAAAAACTAAAATGACTCTCATAGATTGGGAAAAACAGATTTCAAACACAGACACATTGAAGAGATAGTGTGGATAAAACCAAAAGGAAAGATTGACAAATGTATTTTTAGCGACATTTTAAACGACCAAATCCGCCTCTGATTGGACCGTTCTACTGTGACGCCGGTTACAGAGAAAATAAAATGTCCTCAGTCTGAAAAAGCGGCAGATGAAATCCCACAAGATTTACATTAACACTACATCAGTGAATCACTTGATATAAAAAGGAATCATAAAAATGAATTGACCCTTGAAAAAGGTGTAACGGACCTGATGGTTTCCGTCCATTTTTCTTTAAATTAAACTTATTTTAAAATCTAAAATTAAACTTGAGAAATAAAAATCTGATCTGTTTTCATATTTAGTTAGTTTAATATGAAAATAACACTTTGTTTCTACTCTGTGCAAAAAAAATCTCAATCAAATGTGGATCTGAAAATACGTAACAAACTTCCGCAGCTCGTTCCGTCCAATCATCATCGTTACATAAAATAAACAGGAAACTTGTCTAATGTATACAACAGTTTTGTTCTAGAAACTTCTACTGGACACAGGAGGGATTTGAACACATGAAAAACATAATATTTCTTTGGATTATTAACATCACATTTTTGGCCTTTTGTCACACTTTTGTGCCCTTTAGTGTGAACAAACCCAAATACAATATTCTAAAACTTAGTTATTACATATTTACTCCAGACCCACGCTGTCCTGTATCCATTTATCTCTCTCTGAGTCTTTAACGATGAGAGCAAGTGTCCGTGATAGTTTTATGAGTTCAGATTTGATTGCATTATGACCGTTATGTAATGTGGCCTTTTGTTTTTTTACTGCAGCTGGTTAAACCCTTTGTTCAGCATTGGATACAAGCGAACTCTGGAGGAAGAGGACATGTATGATGTTCTCCCCGAAGACCGGTCTGAACGTCTGGGCCAGGAGTTACAAAGGTACAAGTCTACGTGCACCTGTCAATCATCTCGTATGATTGTCCCAGTGAGGGCGAGATGGTCTGTTAAAAGTTTATATGAAAGTGTCCATGGTTTGCAGAGTTGGAAACGTTTAATCACCAAATAATAATAATTTCACCAATATTCCAAGGCAAGTTTATTTGTATGGTACTGAACAAAATAAAGTATTAAAATAAATAATCACATTACATTAAAAAGAAAGATAAAAATATAAAATCCCTCAGTTGTAGCACAGCTAAACAGAACTGTTTTTACCCTTGTTTTAAACATTATCAGAGAGGAGGCCTGTCTCACACTTGCCTCCCCATGTTTAGTTCTGACTTTGGGCACTAACAGGAGTCCAGTCCCTGTGCTCCTCAGAGTCCCAGCAGGAGTCCAGTCCCTGTGCTCCTCAGAGTCCCAGCAGGAGTCCAGTCCCTGTGCTCCTCAGAGTCCCAGCAGGAGTCCAGTCCCTGTGCCCCTCGATCCCAGCAGGAGTCTCCCTGTCTCCCCTGAGTCCCAGCAGGAGTCCAGTCCCTGTGCTCCCTCTGAGTCCCAGCAGGAGTCCAGTCCCTGTGCTCCCTCTGAGTCCCAGCAGGAGTCCAGTCCCTGTGCTCCCTCTGAGTCCCAGCAGGAGTCCAGTCCCTGTGCTCCCTCTGAGTCCCAGCAGGAGTCCAGTCCCTGTGCTCCCTCTGAGTCCCAGCAGGAGTCCAGTCCCTGTGCTCCCTCTGAGTCCCAGGTCCATCCTGGTCCTTCCCAGGAGTCCAGTCCCTGTGCTCCCTCTGAGTCCCAGCAGGAGTCCAGTCCCTGTCCTGGTCCGCAGATCTCCTGAGTCCTCTGAGCCCAGCAGGAGTCCAGTCCCTGTGCTCCCTCTGAGTCCCCAGGAGTCCAGTCCCTGTGTCCCTCTGAGTCCCAGCAGGAGTCCAGTCCTGTGCTCCCTCTGAGTCCCAGCAGGAGTCCAGTCCCTGTGCTCCCTCTGAGTCCCAGCAGGAGTCCAGTCCTGTGCTCCCTCTGAGTCCCAGCAGGAGTCCAGTCCTGTGCTCCCTCTGAGTCCCAGCAGGAGTCCAGTCCCTGTGCTCCCTCTGAGTCCCAGCAGGAGTCCAGTCCCCCTGTCCCAGCAGGAGTCAGTCCCTGTGCTCTGAGTCCCAGCAGGAGTCCAGTCCCTGTGCTCCCTCTGAGTCCCAGCAGGAGTCCAGTCCCTGTGCTCCCTCTGAGTCCCAGCAGGAGTCCAGTCCCTGTGCTCCCTCTGAGTCCCAGCAGGAGTCCAGTCCCTGTGCTCCCTCTGAGTCCCAGCAGGAGTCCAGTCCCTGTGCTCCCTCTGAGTCCCAGCAGGAGTCCAGTCCCTGTGCTCCCTCTGAGTCCCAGCAGGAGTCCAGTCCCTGTGCTCCTCTGAGTCCCAGCAGGAGTCCAGTCCCTGTGCTCCCTCAGAGTCCCAGCAGGAGTCCAGTCCCTGTGCTCCCTCAGAGTCCCAGCAGGAGTCCCAGTCCCTGTGCTCCCTCAGAGTCCCAGCAGGAGTCCAGTCCCTGTGCTCCCTCAGAGTCCCAGCAGGAGTCCAGTCCCTGTGCTCCCTCAGAGTCCCAGCAGGAGTCCAGTCCCTGTGCTCCCTCAGAGTCCCAGCAGGAGTCCAGTCCCTGTGCTCCCTCAGAGTCCCAGCAGGAGTCCAGTCCCTGTGCTCCCTCAGAGTCCCAGCAGGAGTCCAGTCCCTGTGCTCCTCAGAGTCCGGGCTGGTTCATATGGGACTAACATGTCACTAATATATTTTGGTGCGAGGCCATGGAGAGACTTGTAACAAGCAGAGCTGTTTTAAAGTCTATTCTGAGTTGAATTCCAGTTGCATCGAGCATATTTGGGGCCAAGCAGGTTTTACGGATTTTCTGACGAGGAATTTGCATGTTCTCTCTGTGTTTGTGAAGGTTTCTCACAGCTGCTCCAGGTTCCCCAATACAGCTATAACCTTACAACAGTTCAGGATGAATGAGTGTGCCTGTGGGATAACCGCTGCAAAATAACCCAAGGCTTCAATACACTGTTTATAGCACAAATAAACGAAACTTCATCCTTATTATCCTGCTTACAGTGCCTTGTTAAATGACGTTTGTATGAGGCAGAAATGGAATGGCTCAGGCGGTTGCACGTTCTGACTATAACGACAACATTAGAATTCACATCACTTTGTTTTCTTCGTGTTGTGGCCTGTTGCTTAAAACAACATTGATCCATGAAAGCAATATTCACCTCATCTGTTTTGTCATTTGAAGGTGCAGTACTCCCAACACATGGTTAATTTAATCACAAGTAACAGTAATTCACTTATAAGGGCAACTTTGGATTCCGGATTTGCTATAGCAGCTTCATGACCTTTAGAAGTCTCGGTGAGAGAAACAAAGCCAAGATCCTGCTGTTTAATGCAACGTATTCATACCACAGTGATATTAATCTGTCCTTTTAGAAATAGTAAGTAAATAGTAAATGAATGGATACAAACAAACATGGCTGTATTTCCCTCAATCACGTTCAAAAAGTGCTCTTAAGTTGATGGGACATTTACAATCAATCACAATCACAGCTGAACATGGAGCATGAAAGAGTTTATTTAGAAAGCGCACTTGTCAAAAGCCTGTTTTCCATGGTTCTTTATAGTTAAATTGAAATGTTCTAGTGTTTTGTCATGCTCTTTGGATTTCTTGTCATCACTGTTTATTTATCTGCAGCTCTCCACTGCTATGTAATCTCAATTTACCCGGCCTTTTAGGGTATCCAACAAGGAGACCGTTATATCTGGATCCATCTCAAGAAGAAATTAATAAGTGATCGTAATCTATGGATATCTAAATGTTTGTCTGTTTAAAAAAACGGTTTTGTTTGAAATGGGTATTAGGGCTGTCAACGCAGTATTTGCACGTGCCATATCCATATCTTAAAGCTGCACTAACTGTCTATATTTTTCTATTAATTACGAAAATTAAATCCATATCCATGCAGTGCATTGGGATACACGTCTTTTTGAAGAAAAAGTAGAGCAGATATGTGCTGGCGTGTGGGCGAAAGCTCCGTGTAGTTAGGGCGAGCAGAGAGCGAGCCCAGCGTTCTGATAAAGTTCCTCAAAGTCAGTTAGTGAAGCTTTAAAGATGCCCAATAATTTGTATATATTTATGTATGCATTAACATTTCTTGTCCGCGCACTTTAATGAATCTGCGGTGGCCTAATGCTGCCACTTTGCTAGAGTGGAGCTCGCAGAGAGACAAAACAAGCGGATGATGAAGAGACAAATGCAGACGAGAGCATAGAGGAATTTGGAGATGTTCAAAAAGACACTTTATCTCCGGTTTTTGGGACCACTTTGGACAGGAGCACTCACAAAAAGAAGTTTTTTGAAAGTCGTCCCAAAAAATAGTCGCTACGTAGAAGGAAAAACACGACAAACCTCCTGCGCCACTTCCAGCACACACATAAGGTACTTTATGTTGTGTATTATTTACAATCTAAAACCCCACACTCTTCTCTGGTCAAAGCAAAGGCAAATACAAAAACCAGCATTATTGAGAGTTGCACTTCTGTAGCACCTTCTGAGAAAACTTCAAAGCGACACAACGCTTATTCTGCACTCTTACTCTCTCTGTTAGTGCTGTGTGTATGGAATTGGAAACTTAAGCCAAGATTTGAGGTTAATATGTGTGCCATACAGCATTTGAATGTAATTAATGTGCTTAATTTATCTATGTTTATAGATTTTTCTCTTGCGGTTCAATGCTTTTTAGGTGAAAGACACAAATATAGCTTTGAAATCATTATTGAAACACTAATCACCCATATCGAATCTAATTTCGCTCAGAGTTCCATTATGGTGCAGCCCTAATAGTGTAATGCTCTGGTATTTCATAGGGTGATGATAGAAAACAAATTATGGCAGTGGATTTTGGGACCTTGCCAATGCAGTGGGGTCTAACAACAGTGATAATGCAAGGCATGTAGAGACATTTATGGATTTATGGTGTCATTCCACGCCCTATGGACCAATGGCTCCTATGCTTTTGTTATTGTGGCCTGGAATACCTGGAAAGGGCAGAATACAATTTCTTAAGAAGCACTATGACTTTATGTGCATCTTTATCAGTGATTCTTTGCACACTTTGCGATAACTGCCCTGTACAGTAATTATATACTATATAATCATAAAATAGTAGCCGCGAGAGTGCTATCCACTCAGCCACCGTGCCGCCCGGTGATTTTAGTCACTGGTGATTAGCCCCAAGACCTAAAATCTGTTTCGGAAATAGAATTTGGCAGTTTTAATCACTGCGGGTTAATTACAAGATTCGTTGCACCAGGCTATGGATATTAGCCTGGACTCTTATTGTTTGAGAACCAAAGGTGACTATCACCAAGCCATTTCAATGAAAAGAGTCGCTGCTATGTTTAATCCTTATTTACTTCTGTTCTCAGACATTGGGACCTGAATGTGGAGAAAATGGCCAAAACAACACAAACCCCCAGTCTCTCCAGAGCCATCATCTGCTGCTATTGGAAACCCTACGCAGTGCTGGGCTTCTTCACTCTGGTTGAGGTTTGGCTCATGGCAACACAGCAGAGATTGTCCTATTTACTACAAAGAAAGTGTGTTATTCAGACTTTAGGCAATTCAGTAGAAATACATGTGAGAGGGGAGTAACCAGCAGGTCATCTGACTGGCGCTGTGCCGTTGCAACACAGTAGACACTATTCTCACATATCGAGTTTTTCAACCTGTAGTGACAGTGGGACAAAAAATCATTTGAGCAAATATTAATAATACAAATCGAAAATGATAAAACGTAATCAAATAAAATACAATAAATGAAAACACCATCGAGTAATTATCTTTTTAAATTGAATCTGATGCTCTGCCGTGTGCCACCAGGAGTCCATCAGAGTGGTGCAGCCTGTTTTCCTTGGAAAGATTATCCAGTATTTTGAGAGTTATGATCCATCAGACTCTGCAGCTCTGCACCGGGCCCTGGGCTACGCCGCAGGTCTGTCGTTCTGCTCTATCAGCCTGGCCCTCACCCATCACCTCTACTTCTACCACGTTCAGAGGATAGGCATGAAGGTCAGAGTGGCAATGTGTCACATGATCTACAAGAAGGTTAGTATGAGCAGCCGGCAATTTGCAAACCGCTGCATCCACTGTCGTGGTCACGTAAAAATGAATCTGAATGTGATTTGTTATTTCCTTCAAGGCTTTGTGTCTGAGCAGCGCAGCCATGGGAAAGACCACCACAGGTCAGATTGTCAACCTTCTGTCCAATGACGTCAACAAGTTTGACCAAGTAAGAACTTAATGCACATTGAAGTGTGTGTATGGAAAAACATACACAGAAGTTTTCTGTCATTACATTGCATACAGTTGCCCCTTCGACAGATTTTAGCATTTTTCAACACAATACTAACAAACAAGTTTTTTTTGGATTTGTGTGCAAGGCCTATTGAATTCTCGCCACACACATCAGCCAAGCTGTAACTGGAAAATCCACCTCAAGTCTTCCCAAATGGCTACAAGGCAAAGGAGTATTTAATTGACTTTAATTACTTATTTTAATCAAACATTTTATGTTGTGTAGACACAGGCATTTGTTTTAAGTACACAGTAGACTCAGTCTACCAGTAATGGAGTTCTGCATTTAGCTTTGACACACCTGCTGTAGCAACACGTAATCAACAAAGCTCAAGTCCACTCATGCAGCATGTGTTGTACAGGTCACCATCTTCCTGCACTTCCTGTGGGTGGCGCCGATCCAGGTGGCTGCTGTGGTGGGGCTGCTCTGGGCAGAGATTGGCCCTTCGTGTCTGGTTGGAATGGTGGTCCTTATGATCCTCATGCCAACACAGACCATGTTCGGAAGGCTTTTCTCAAAGTTTAGGTAAATGAAAGGTAATATTGCTAAAATATAGCAGTGACATTGACTATCCTGTGTCTCTGCAGGAGTCAGACGGCTGTTTTGACTGACACTAGAATCCGGACAATGAATGAAGTTGTGTCAGGGATGAGAATCATAAAGATGTACGCCTGGGAGAAACCTTTTGCCGCTTTGGTCTCCGACATCAGAAGGTAACGGACCTGCTTTTCCTGTTCAATGTCAGAAGTGTCAACATACTTGACTTGGAATGTGAATATTATTCAAATCCCGGTCGGAATAGGGCCTTTGCATGTTCTCCCCATGTCTGCGTAGGTTTCCTCCGTGTACTCCTGTTTCTCCTACCACTAAAAACATGTGCAGTAGTTCAGGGTGAATGAATGAATGAATGAGTGTGTGTTTGTGAGTGCGAATGTGATCTGATGCAAATTAGCCCAACGCTACAATCCGGAGTGATGTGTTCATTAACATGTACTGCCCCAACCAAGCAAACAATAAATGAATAAATACATTATTGTAATGGTTATAATGTTGAAAATATCCAAAATGTTAGCAAATATTGTTAATTAAATTTTAATTCATCACAATTGTTTACTGTTTCACAATTTGGTTTTACTGTCTGCCTGTTTTTAGATGATTGTTTGCTGCAAAGCCCCATGGGACAATAAAGATAACTTAAACTGGATAATAGTGTGACAGTTTATTTGTGACTGTGTTTTGCAGAAAAGAAATCTCCAAAGTGCTGAAGAGCTCGCACCTGCGTGGCCTCAACATGGCGTCCTTCTTCTGTGCCAGTAAAATCATATTGTTCTGCACCTTCACTGTGTACGTGCTATTGGGGAACACGCTGTCGGCGAGTCGCGTGTTTGTGACCGTGTCTCTGTACGCGTCTGTGCGCCTCACAGTCACGCTCTTCTTTCCCAACGCCATCGAGGACACTGTTCGAGAGCCGTGTCAGTGTGCGCCGGATACAGGTGCTCGTCTTCCACAACGACTCAAACACGCTCTACAATGTTGTGCTTATGAGCAGGGGTGCACTTTAACATTTTCAGCGAGTTCTCGGATGAGCACCAGGAGATGGTGTTTGGTGTTCACTCCATTTGTCGCGTGGTTCTTAGTTGAGATTTTATACTACTTCTTTGTAATGCTAAAGTTTAGATCAGCTCAGAAATATTGACTCACAGGGCTCTTTCTTAAAAATGCAAAACAAAAACATTATTATGCATTATTAATGCAAGGGAAAATGCTCTGTTTCTTGCGGTAACGCAATATGTATGTATTTATTATGCGTTACACAATGACACACACTTTCAACAAGCAGAGAATGGTCCGCATTGGGTACATTATGACTGTTTAGCTAGGAGTGGCTGGAATCGCGTTCGAGTACGTACAGTAAGTGCCCCGCGATCACGCACACCCTCTCTGAATGTCATGGG